GGGTATACTTAGGGCAAAAGTGTCATTTAAGAATTCTGATATTTTATAATTTAAACTAATAAAAAATTGAAGAACAATTTTGACATTTTACATTTTTAAGGGGCTGTTTGGATCGAATTTCTGATAAGGGGGTGCATTGTCCAAAATTAAGACAACTTGTATCTGTGTATCCTTTTGGCAAACCTCAGCAGGGTGTTGCTATACTTCTTCTTCTTTTTCTTTCTTTTTTTTTTTCAAGACCACCAATTCCTTGAAATCCTTCAAACCATAACCTGAAAGCAAATCAACAAGATATATTTCAAGTTAATTATCAAGTTTCATGATTGCAACTCGGGAAAATTCTTTTAAATAAAATTGAGCGAGGCTTTTTGCTTGTCAAAAGAAGGTAGTAAAACAACAATCCAGCATTGGCTCTAGTAAAACGATTATTTAACTCTTCAAAATACTTATTTATCAAGGCAAAAAAATAATTCAGCATTGGTTTTAGTAAAACGACTATACATATATTTATCTCACCACCGTTTATTTCATAGGTCTTGTGGACCTTTGGTGCCCTGTTTTGTTTATTTTTGAGATCCCCGCACCAACTTGAAATCTAATTATTCAGCAAAGTAATTGAAGTGTTTCTTTGATTTATATAGCACTCATGCAACGATTCCAGTACTTTAAATTTGATAATTGTTCTTTGAATTTAGGAGTGAATTTGGTGGGGGTATTATTTAGCATTTCATTAGTGGAGCTCAGAAGATGATATGTTAGTTTAACAAAATAGTATAAATTATAGGTAAAATGAAATCAATTTTCTAAGAACTTTTTCTTTCAAATAATTATGTAAATAAATAATTTAATTAGAAATTATTTTTTGAAGCATTTATGAGAAAATATGGTACTGGTATAAAAAAATTCATCATCAGGGTGGGGGAATCTACGAGGATATGAAGAGATTACCAGTTACTCTACCATGTACTGTATTACCTTTGGACTATTAAAAATATTCGAAAGAGGAAAAAAAATACATTTTACAATGGTTAATAATAGTGACAGAGCCAAAAAATAGTGACAGAGCCAAAAGATTATTTAAGAGAGAGCAACCTTTAACAATAATAAGATAAAATAATTTCAAACTACCATAGTAAATAGAAGAACTTAATATTAATTGATATTTTTACTAAAAATATTTAAAATTGTCCGCGATGAATTTTCGTATTTTAAAACTTCAGCTGAAAGCTTTATTATCTATTTTACTAATTGTGTCTTTTTCAATATATATAGTCAAACAATCACTCATTCATTGATTTCTATCAGACTATGCAATCGCTTCTTAAAAAAAATTTATAGCGGAAAATGTCCTCCCTACAGTAGCAATCGCATGTGGCACGATATGCCAATTTCACAAGCAAACTTTTTTGTGTTTTTTTTTTTTTTTTTTTTTGACAAGATCATCAATTTCTTTTCATCCTTCAAATTGTCGCTAGAGCTCACATCAACAATATAAGTTTCAAGTTGATCAACAACATTCATGAGCACAAGTAGAGAAAATTCTCTTGGATAGAATTAAACAAGGTGGATTACTTCTTGCTTGTGGAAAGCAGATAATATATGTCAGAGCATAAGCATATATGCCTCAAAAAGCAACTACTCGGCATTACACAAATATATAGTTAGATAAATCTCTCTTATTGTTTACACAAATCTCTCTTTTATATATATATATATATATATAGAGGATAATTTACACAAATCTCTCTTATAGTTTGCTATAATTATACAATCTTTTTTATAATTTGAAAATTTACTCGAACGTATTCTAAAAATAAAAATATCCTACACAGACTCTCTGTAACAGTCAATAATTATACTAATATCATCTAACAAATTAAGTAAAATGTTCATAATACCTTTATCCTTAAATTGGATTTGATAATCAGATCTTCTTTTCTTAGCTTAGGTTAAGATCATCAAATCGGTAAGTTCAGTCAAATTAAGAAGGAATTAGTTTCTTTTGTAATTCCTTGGTGGCGGTGGTTGTAAGTGGGGATGGCGGTGGTGACGCCGACACAAGTTGTGGTGGTGTCGGTGGTCATTCGTTTTTGCTGGTGGTGGTTGTGCGGCGACGATGGTGGTGGGTTTTGTTATGGATGTGGTGATTCATTGACCGGATCTACAGCGACGAAGATCTGTGACGGCGACGGCGAGGCGGCAGCGAGGGTTTGCAATCGCCGGTTACGACCCCTAATCGCACGACATTCACACCCAATCATCTTTTTCTACTATGTCCCTGAATCACGAACCCTTCAATTCCTGAATCTACATCCTCATTCGATTATTGAAACTCTAGATTTGTTTTCAAATTAAGGTATTTGCGAAGTCGCCTAACAATCCACCACCAAATCACCGTCGGTTATGGGCTTGTTTTGGTGGTGGTCAGCTATGGGAATAGTGACAATGGTTGTGGGGTGAGAATAGTGGTTGCAGTAAGGATTGTAGTGGTTGTGGATGAGCGGTGGTTGTGCAGCGAGAATGGTGGTTATCGGATGGTGGTTGTGCAACGGGAACAATGGTGGTTATCGGATGGTGGTTGCGTTGCCAAGTGGTTGTGGGGGTGAGAGCAGTTTTTGCGGTGAGGATTACAGGTGGTTGTGGGATGGTGGTTGTGGGGTTGATTTGCAGCGATCTCCAACGACAGGGACGGCGATCTATAGTGTCTGATGATGGAGACAGATAATAGATATATGTATAGATATAATAATACGAAGGGAGATGTGTAAATTCATCATTTTTATGTACACTACTACTACATATATATATATATATATATATATATATATTATTTATATGAGTATTTTAGTCATTTGTCCTAGAAATTTGAGAGCATTTTAGTAAATTTGGCACGTTTGTTAGTGCAGTTGACGGTCCGTCACATATAAAGGAGGTCTCTATATGATATTTTTATTTTTAGGGAAGGTCCGAGTAAATTCTTAAATCACATGAGAGGTCCGTGTAATTATGATAAACTATAGAAGAAGTTTGTATAAATTACCTATATATATATATGTATATATATATTTATATCAAGTCAACGGAATTTCTTCAGTTTTACGAATTATAAACAACGAGTTATTTTGAATTCACAAAGTAGGGTATTTTGGATCCACAAAACGAGAAATAAATTCAGATAAATATGATAATTGTATTGATAATTGAATGAATGATTCTGATCTCTGCATTACATATTTATATTAAAAGAAAACCCTAGTCAATAAGGAAACTAACTACAACTCGAATCCTTATAACATAAGGAAACATAATCCCAAGAAATACTAATATTTGAAAATAAGCCTAAAAATAAAGTTTTTAAAAAAATTTAAAAAAAAAAACCCTAATAAATTAAAATTACTAAATATAAAATATGAGTGCAATTTGAGTTTGTTTACGCAATGAAATTCTTGAAATATTTGACAGACTTCTTTGGGACAAAAAACCCCATTTTGAGGCTCTAAACGATGCTATTTCGCCGGAAAACAAGTTACGTCACACATAACAGTGAGTCTTGTTCGTTGGGCCATTTCCAATCAAAAAACTCTCCTCTTGGGTCAAAAACGCACACTTCGGGATCAACTCAGAAAATCTATTAGCATATCATTTGCCCCTGACGGTCCAAACAAATCATAAAAACTTCAGCAATCAGTTCTCCATCCAAAATTGTTTGATATTTTTATTTGGCTAGTAAACAAAGCCAAAAGTCACAAAAATGCCTCAATGTGGAAGCCCCATTACATTGTGTTCTCCACTTTGTCCCCCAAAACTTTTAATTTCGAAATTGTTGTACTTATCATACTTTTTTGCGACTCCATATTCATTTCTTAGCCAACTATCCATAATTGCTTAATTAGTCTGTGTATCAGGCTCTAACGAGTCAAAATGTTCCAAGTATTAACTTCTAAGCACTTTCTAAGCTTTGGTTAACACGATCACATGGTCGATAACATCAAGTGGCACTCGCTAACCAGTTTCAGCTGTCCATATATATGCCAAAGAAGAAATTGAAAAAGGACAAGCTTTGTAAATATCAAACCATGCCGGGCACTATCTATATCTGCAAGTTGTGAGTTGTCTAATTTTGGGACAAAGCTAAAGACGAATGTTATAAATTGAGAGTCGAATTAAAGCAAATCATCATAAACACACGGTAGTGATCTTTCTTCTAATCAATCATATAACAATGTTGTTCAGACATGTTCTGCTGTTCCTTTCAGTTTCAGCCATGGTGGTTGGATCCTGGATGGTCCACGCAAGTGATCCGGATATCACATCAGACTTCATAGTCCCGGGAAACTATAACAGCATTAATGGAAGTTTCTTCACCTTCACAGGAATGCGCGGAATATTTGGTGAGCCAGGAGCCCCAGCCCCACCAAACTTTAAGGTAACGAAAGCTAGCATGGCAGAGTTCCCAGCTGTGAATGGTCAGTGTCTCACAAGCCGTGCTTCAGTTCCCAGCTGGTGCTGTCAACCCACCTCATAGCCATCCGCGCTCTGCAGAGCTTCTATTCGTCGTGGAAGGTAGTCTTGAAGTGGGATTTGTTGACACCACCAACAAACTCTTCACTCAGAAGCTCCAAATTGTGGACATGTTTGTGTTCCCTAAAGGACTAATTCACTACCAATACAATGCTGATGACCAAGTACAAGCCACAGCCATCTCCGCCTTTGGTAGTGCAAATGCTGGGACTGCAGCTCTTCCTGCCACTCTCTTTGCCACTGGCATTGATGATGGAATTCTGGCCAAGTCCTTTAAAACTGATGTTGCTACCATTCAGAAGATCAACGCAGGTCTCGCACCCAAGGCTTAGTTCTGAACATTTTTACCATTATTTTCATTCTCATTTCTCTAATTTGATAGTACTTAATACTAAGAACTATTTATGAATTTTTTATTTTTTCGCTAATAAGTAGAACTAAGGAAATGAGAGAATACGAGTTGTGGGAGAATTTGTACATGATCAAATAAAATTTATTTCAATTTATTAATAATAAAATAAATAACAAATAAAAAATAAATAGAAATACTGATAGCTTTTCAATTGCCAAGCATACAATCCATTGCATGGCCTAGAAAGTGCTACTGTGAGAATATATACATATAAAACATGAAAATTTACAAACTGAGAGAGAGAGATTCCTAGGGTTTGAAACAGGAAGGGGACACCTTTAGTTGCACTACGCCAAGAGTTCTTGCCAATTTAAGAGAGAGAAAGCACAAATATATAACCAAGAGCCCGCAACCTAAGAACCTATCCAGCCTCATATTGTTCTTGGGCAGGATCACAAGGGCCCAAAGCAAGCCAGCCACTAGGAAACCCATGGTTTCATAGACAAAAGGGTCTCTAGGGATGACATAGTTGAATGGATACACAGACCAGGCTGAGAAAGCAAGTGACAAGCCCAAGCCCACCAAGGTGTTGAATGTTGGCCCTGCATAACAGCCAGAAATGGCAATCTGGGCCCCACCTGGCCCACCATTTTTAGCCATTGTTACATTGGCTACCAAATCCCCAAGAGAATTGCCCCAAGCAAGGATAGTGAGCCCTAAAATTGAAGGGCTTATCCCTAATATGAGACCAAATGAAACCAACAGAGAGATCAGCTCCTGAGCCAAAAAATATGTCCAAGTGATGCTCATCAAGAACCCTCCGCCAAGCCAACACAACAAACACTTCCTTGGTGGGCCAGACCTCTCTGTAGTGAAAAATGCAAGAACCCCAATAATAACTCCAACCACTCCACCGATTGCATATACCATCAAGCTTGGTCTTGAACCATGAGAATCCCAAATGAAAGCTAGTAAAAGAGGAGCTATTGTAACTGATATAACTGCAAATGGCTTTGACCATCTCTCCTCAGAAATGACTGGAATAGTCAGCCTTCTTGGTAACAAAAGAGGCAGCTCTAGAATGTCCAAGAGAGTCCCAATTAAAGAAACAGTTGAAGATTTGAGATCAAAACACCTTATTCCACTATTTTCTTGATCCACTAAAATGGGTTTCTCATCATCCAAACAACCCAACAAAGGCACTCCCAACTCAGACTCCTCAAGAAAATTACTAGTTAGAGGCAACACATGACACCCATCATTCACTTCCTCTTCTTTCTCCCTCTTAGCACACATCTCTGAGACAGAGACAAACAACACATATATGAAGTACAGAGAGAGAAAGCAAATAGCACCCCACAAGTTGATCTCTCCTAGACCAATGATCACAAGCAAGCAAGAGAGAGAGAGAAGGAAAAAGAGAACATCTCTTATGAAACTAGACTTGTCAATTGTTTTACCATGGACACAGAGGCTTATGACACCAACCACAATGGTGGACACAAAAAAAACACCACCCAAGATGCTATTCAACCCCACATCTTTAGTGCCATCACCCATGAAAGAAGCCACACCAGCAAAGAGGTCAGGGGCTCCATTCCCTAGAGAGAGAAGAGTGACACCAGCTATGGTTGGAGAGAGATTCAAGACCATTGACAAGCCTTCCAATGAAGAGCAGAAGTAATTGGCAGCTGTGTCACCCAACAGATAGAACAGCAATATGAGCCAGAGGATGAACAGGGTGTGACCCAAAAGTGGGCTAAAAGTGCAATAAAAGAGGTGGAGATAGGGTATGTAGCCTGTGGGTTGACACCTGTTGTGAGTCTTGACATATGAGCACTTTTCTTGGTGGTCATGGTGGTTGTGGAGAGCTTTGCAACCTATATCATCATCTGGGATCTGATTGTGATTCAATATTGCAATCAAATTTGATGCTTTGAATTGGTTGATGGAATCAGAATTGGATGAACAGAGATGGGTTGTGAGGCAGGAGAGTAGGAAGAGGAAGCATATGTTGAGAAAGAGACTCAGACACTTGTCTCTGTGCATGGACTGGAACCCAGCCATCTACAAAACTTAAGAGAGACTGACAAACAGAATGGGGAATGAAATGTAGTTTATATAATATTTGGAGACATAGACAAGCAACACATATACACATGAGGTAAGCAGGAAATTAAATTTTTTAAATAAAAAAAAAAAAGCTAAAGCAACTGCCATATATGGGATGGGGACTCGAACCTGAGCCATTTGGCAACAAACACCAACAATCAACCAACTGGGCTATCACACCACAGCCGGTAAGCAGAAAATTTTGTATAGAAGAAGATGTATGTACAGAAATAAGAATAATGTTATTCAAATTGAAAAAGGTAGTCAAATTAATACGAAAGATAAGTTTTTTTTTTTTTTTTTTTTTTTTTTCTTGAGTCAATTCCATTTGATCATATGAAATAAATGTTGTGGATTGAAAGAATATTCCATGTTAAAATAAAATAAAAAAGAATATTCGATAAAATTATTGTCTAGTCAAATTTCTTTTCTTTTTTTTTTAAATGCAAGAAATTCAAGCATCTATTTGTCCATACTCTCCAGCAGAGGTAGAATATATATCACTAGATTACATAGCTTCGATAATTGTATTTCATTTAATACAGTAGAATTTAGAATTCAAAGTAATAATTAATATTGATTTAAAGAAAATAAAAAAATAAATTTGTCTAATTACTCGCTTTTTTATCCCGATAAATTAGAGAGAAAAAGATGACTCAAACATCATTCGTTCGGAGTGTTAAACATTTTATCGATTAGGTTACTGAGTAATATCCTAATATCTTAATTAAGTAACCTTCGTGGTAACATAATGTAATAAAATGAAATTAAGTGGAGGAGCCATCAAAAAAAAAAAAAAAATTGTGACATTCATCCTGATAAAATTTCATTAGTTGCGTTGAGTTGAGTCCCACACTATATATCTCTAACATCTTCTAAAAACTAATAGAACCTTTATTATTATTATTATTACTAACCCAAGAATGGTTAGTAGTTAGTGGGGTTTGGAGGAAGGATATTCAAATCTGAGAAATACTTAAAGATTTAGTAGTGTTACAAATGGGACTTGTCTCATATCAAATTTGAATGAGAATTGAAGTATGTATAAATGAATGGATATATAGCACTACTCAACAACTTAAACTTTTAAATAAATACATAATCGTCCATCCATAACAATTAGCTTCAGAGATCAACAAGAGTCCTTAATTTTAATTTGGTCTCACGCACGCCCCGCACTTCTTATAGAACCTTGATTCAATAAGCCTCCTTTCCATTCATATAATACATGTAATTATGAAGTTAAAGTGTAGCCCCATAAGAAAGAAAAAAATGGTGATATAAATCACGAAAAAAAATAAATAAATTACACATGATGAGTCATTTTGTCGATGTATTCATTGGACTCCACATGGTATATCTTAGTCTAGTGTTGTTTAGTAGGCTAACTTTTTTTTTTCTTTTGGAAAAAATACATACATATATATATATATATATATATATATATATATATATATATATATTTTCCATTGACAACCAATATGTGGATAGATTCATTCAGAAAAAATAATTTAAATATGTGTGTGTGGATAGATTTGTCAGGCAGTGTCATTTATTTCTGAGTGACAGTTGCGTGGTTTGAATTAGATTTGTCATGTTATTTGAGGTTCAATTTAGCTTATCTTTCTTTCCCTTATCAAGAAAGCACTTGCCCCAGATGCAATTACCCTAGATATGCCTGGTAGAGAGACGGTGAATGACCCACAGAAAGACATCTGAAAAATTATTAAGTGTTAATAATATATATGATTCCAAGCTTTTAAATGAGGAAAAACAGTATGACCCACAGAAATACATCTGAAAAATTATTAAGTGTTAATAATATATATGATTCCAAGGTTTTAAATGACGAAATACAGTGCAAGTACCTTTACAAAGATAAAGGAAGGGACTGAAAGAGATAGTATTGGTCAAATCAGTGATAGAGAGGTCTATGAAATGCCTAATGGTTTTGCATCAACAGAGCCGTAGCCTATATCACTTGCTGGGTTATCAGGTATGTTTGTGTGTGGTGGCTAATCTAACCATGTATCACGCTAATAATGTTTGTTTTGTTGCCATTATTCTATACAATGCTCTAATTAAAGATATTTTTTATTGGGCATTATCAACATTCAACAATGCTATTGATGGACTAAGAGAACAAATTGAAAGAATTAATGGAACTTTGAAATGTGAGAAATAGTTTTTGTATTTGAAAATTTTATTTGTCAAAACGTGTTAATCAAGTTATAATTTTATGTATAATTTAAGTTTGGATTAAGTGCAAAAAAATTCCCTTTACTATCGATATAGTGTAAAAAAATTTCTATGTGGTATAAACCCCTTTATCCTATCAATTTGGTGCAAATATACCCCATGTTCGAATAAAAAGACATGAATACCCTCTTGTCAATAAAATGAAATAATATTAAAGAAATTTAGGCAATTTAAAATTACCATTTTAGACAATTTCCAAACTCACCCACAAAATTCAGGCAGCCACGCGTCATCAGCTTCTCACAGATGCAATCATCTTTTCGCCACTGGCCACCCGAACCAGAGAAGACCAACTGCAACTCGCCTTCCCCATCAAACCCACAGCCGATCGGTTGCTCCTTCTTCTTTGCTCATCGTTCAAGCACATCATCACAAGCTTGCCGACATTACGTTCACGCCGGCTTCTCGAACTCGCCGTCAATGATAGTTGTGGATTCTGCGGCGGTGAAGGGTTATGGTTGCCGACACAATGAAGAGGAAGACTGGGAATTGCTGAAGAAGAAGGTGACGCGTGCTAGTAAGATCCTAATTGAAATTAATTATAGAATTTAATATAATCTATCAAGAACTAAAACAAGTCCCCGACAACGGCGCCAAAAACTTCTTGTGAGATTTATATGTACCACTCACAAATGCACGAATCTTTATAGATAGGGCTTACTTGTAAAGGTGTCGTACCCAAAGGACTTGTGTTAATGAAGTTTGTCAACAATTTTCCCAAATTCTAAATTAACTTGAAAGTAGGATAACCAAATTATGATGATTTATTCTAGATTAACTAAGTAGAAAAATAAAATGAGAATAATGATTAAATAAGATGTAGAAAATAGAGAGAGAGAACTTTGGGCATGACTTCACCACTAACGTCGCAATACCAGTCAATTGCATCAATTTATTAGAGATATATATATAGCATGCATAAGGAATTAATCATGGCTACAAGCATATATTAATTCAGCTAGAAGATAATATAATATAAGCTAAGCATGGACTATCTTCGATTGGCATAAACCATCTACTTAACTACTTTACTCTAGGGTGTAGTATGGTCTATCTTTTCTAAGCATAATCTATAAAATCTCTAACATTATATTCAAAGAAAAAACATTGTATAACCATCTCATTCACAACTACAAGAAGTGAATGAGTTGTATTCAATCACAAGATTCAAATATCTAAGACAACATAGAAAAGCACTTTGTAATTGAATTAAAACTTTAATTGAAAAGTCAATTAAAAATCATATAGATTACACAATCATGCATGATAATAATTGTTCTCTAAAAAATAAATACAATCAAAACAGTGGTGTTAAGCTAAGGCTACATCACAACCCTAGCAAAGCATTTAGCCAAGCATGACTGAAATAGAATTCTTCATGGTTGAGGAAAACATCTCCACTACTATGGATTGATCCCTTCTTTCTTCTGAATGTTTCTCCTCTGATCTCAGCCACAAGCTACTCTATATGATTCTCTAATGATGTAGAGAACTCCCTTTAAATAAGAGAAGATCAGCCCTAAAGTTCCCTTTTTCACATAGAAGACATATATGGAAATTCTGCCAAACAAGGACTCCAAAATTTGTACAGACTTCCAGCCCAATTTTGACAAGGTAAACAGCTGTAATCTGAATTCCTTGTGAAATACAAAATTATAGCTCTTCAAATGTCCTTTCAACAATGGTGGGAATTTAGTTGTTTTGACACTCAAGGAAAGAGATACAGACAGATTATCAAAATGAGTTCAAGTTACCAACTTTGGAGAAAGTTTCATAATTGGAGAAGGATTCTTCCTTTTCTTCTTCTTTCCATTCTCATCAACTTGTAGCTTCTCTTGGACTTTTTTCTAAGTCTAATTAGGCTTGAATCTTCAACATTACTTGATCCCACGGAATGTCATCTTTTAAAGATTGGAATCACTGGTCTTGACTGATTTTACAATTAAAGCCCTAAAATAAATAAAAACAATAAAACAATATAAAATCACAAATAAATTATTACTAAGAGAATAAAACATACAAGTTAAGGGGTTAAAATGTACAACATTCAGCACTTAATACACCCCCAAACTTACATATTGGTAGTCCCATAGCAATAAAACTAAAGAAACATAAAGGCTTATTTCGTGGGAATCACGATTACAGTTAGCTTATGCAACAAGCCTTTTAAACCCTTAGGTTACCCCTAGTGAACAAGTGAAGTCTCGTGGGGATTTCCAGAGATGATACCCACAAACATACAAAACAATTCAATCATTCGGCAATCAACTTATTCTCATATCATCACAATAATCAAAGGAAAGACTACACAAAAGTACTTTAAAAATTAACAACTGACAATACTCCTTAGTCCCTATTTTCATACTTCATCCCAATGTTTCCCACACACTTTTACAATAAGAATAACAGCAAAAATCAATCCCCAATGTTTTGAAATTTGTGAACTAACAAATTATTTATGTAATAATGTATTTTCAATTGAACCCAACTTCTATATCTTCAATTCCTCAAATCCCTTCTCAAGTTATTTTCTATTGCAAAATATTTTTTTCTCTCTCACACACATTGTATTGATTGGTTGTGCAATGTACGATATATTAAGCTTTCTAGAGGACTCATGTAACAAGTTTTCAGCCAATAACTCCCAGACCCGACAATCTTAGAGTATTAGGTGTAAAGACACCTCCAATGACTTA